GCTAAGCAACAACTTCAATCTCTGGTGTTTTATCCCATTTTCTTTTTTTTCTTTTCGAGATGGAGCCTTGCACTGTCTCCCAGGCTGGAGTGCAACCTCTGCCTTCCAGGTTCAAGTGATTCTCCTGCCTCAGCCTCCTGAGTAGTTGGGAACACAGGCGCCCTTTTGTATTTTTAGTAGAGATGGAGTTTCACCATGTTGGCAAGGTTGATCTTGAACTCCTGACCTCAGGTGATCTGCCAGCCTTGGCCTCCCAAAATGCTGGGGTTATAGGCATCAGCCACTGCTCCTAGCCTACCTCATTTTTCTTAAAGTAAGAGCCAAAAGGTTGTCATTTTAAATGGTAGCTTCCTAGGGTAGAAAATTGCATTTGGGAAAATCATTAGGTACTGTTTTAATCCACATTGTGCCTTGTCTAATTATTGACCTAACCCTTACTTACGTATTTTGTTATGGGACCCACCTTCTGTGATTTCTAATCTGTGATTTACTAATTACAAGTAAATGTTCAGGTCTACCCAAATTGTATTAGTTGTAGCTAATTCTGAAGACCAGAATTAGTATTTCATATTTGACAGAAGATAAGTATACAAATAGGCATCTGAATCATCCCTAGATATGCAAGGCACATAAAAGTCCATTATTTATTCTTGTTTTGTAACGCCAGTTTCACCAATACTTATTTTCAATTGAGTCTTATATTCCACACAATTGGCCAGAGCCTCTATTTATCTGCAATCAATAAGATTCCTCTAGCCTTGGAAAAGCTTCTTGGTGACTCTGCAACTAACAAAATCAGTATTTTTCTCACTTCCTTTATTAGATTTAATGATTTAACTTGTGGGGAGAAGAAATTTTGTTTAAAAACCTTGAACAGACTTTATCTACTTAAGGCAACTTTAAAATGTATAAGCAGGACAATATAATAGGGTTCATCATATGCAAATACAGTGTAATTATGTCGTTAGATTAAAAAAAAAAAAGCCTATGCATGACCATATGGAAACATTCAAATCTCATTGAGTTGTATATGAAACGTGTGTGTTTAAAAAAAAATATTCCAAAAGCTGCCAGGAAATGCATTTTTAAGCTCATTTTACTTTGCCAGTCTTATTGTTCTGTGAGTGCTGTACAATAAACTGAGTGGAAAAATGTTATTAGCCATGTACAACACTCTATGGACTGAAAGTTCCTACTGCTTTCCTCAACTGCTATGGCTCATTTTACTGAGAGCTTCCATTCGTCTTCCTGGCAAGTACCAAATTGGCTGGATTAGCTGAGACTAAGTAGCTCCTATCTTGAATGTCTAATTAAATATGTAAATTCTAGAAGGACTTTTCTACTATAGGCAAAATGACTATGCAAGTAAGGTGTTATGTAATGTTGTAATTTTATTTCTGTGCTGTGTGTGTGTGTGCGCATGTGTGTGCATTTTTAAAGCATTCCAGGTGAATTTGCACTATACTGACTCAGAGTCCTGGTGTAGTATACAGAACACTAGCGGAGGATTGGAAAGAGCTAAATTCCTGTTCCCAGCACTTCCAATGACTGGGGCAAATTGGTTGTTACTTTCTTTGTTCCTAGATAAGAATATCTACAGTACCTACCTCAGAGGGCAGTTACAAGAACACAAAAAGGTGCTTTGGAAATGTGCTTTATAACACAATGATACTATTTCAGATTACATTTATTGCCTTCAACTAAAAATTAATTTAACACATTTTTATTATTTGAATTGATTCACTATTTCTTAATCAAATGCCTATGTCCAGGATGAATACACCAGTCTTACTTATCAAATAAGTGGGAAAACTTACTTTTAAGAAAAGCTATAGGATGATGATCCAAGATGGCCAAATAGGAACAGCTTTGGAGTGCATTTCCCAGCAAGAATGCAGAGGGTAAATGACCACCACATTTCCAAATGAATTTTTACTGCCCACAGACTAGGAGATTCCCAGACAGAAGAGCACCATGAGTCTCCAGCACGGCTGTTTAGGCCAGTGCAGTGGGTCTCCACACAAAAACTCACACAATTCTGGACGCCATTTCAACTGGCACCTGGAACACCTGGGAGACAGTGTCGCCCATTCAGCTGAAAAAAAGGGGGCTGAAACAGGGAGCTAGGTGATCTGGTTCAGCAGTTCCTACCCCAACAAAGACCAGCAATCTGAAATGCTCTGGATTGAGAGTTTCACGGCAAGCATGGCTGGACCCAGGATGGTCCAGCTCTATGGGAGGAAGGGCATCCACCATTACCGAGGCAGTTCTAACTATACCTCTATAAACAAAACCTCAAGGAAGTTCAAACAGCAGCTGGGCAGAGCCCTCTGCAGCTCAGCAATGCCTCTGCTGGCAGACTGTGACTAGACTACTTCCTCGCTGGGAAAGGCATCTCTGAAAAAAGACAACAGCACGTCAGGAACTTATAAATAAAGCCCATATTCCCAGGACAGAGCACCTGGGAAAAAAAGGTGATTACGAGTTCCACTGCAGCAGCCTTAAATGTACCAGCCCAGCATCTGTGAATGGAACAATGGATCTCACAGCTCAGCACTTGAATTCCTGTAAGGGACAGACTATATTCTCAAGCAGTTCCCCAACCTTCATATAACCAAAGAGACACATCATAAAGGAGAGCTCAGGCTGACATCTGGCATGTATCTTACTGGGACAAAGATAATAGAAGAAACTGGCAGCAAACCTTACAGTTCAGCTGCTGCCTGTGATCCCCTGGCAAGCAGGGTCTGGAGTGGACCTCCAGCAGTCCTACAGCAGAGTGGCCTGTTAAAAGGAAAACTAAAAAACAGAAATAACTTCATCATCAACAAAAGGATGTCCACTCAGACCCCATCCAAAAGTCACCAACTACAAAGACCACACGTAGCTAAATCCACAAAGATGGGAAGAAACCAGTGCAAAAAGGACGAACACACCCAAAACTAGATCCTCCTCCAAGGGATCACAACTCCTCACCAGCAAGGCAACAAGGGTGGATGGAGAATAAGTCTGATGAATTGACAGAAAAAGGCTTCAGAAAGTGGGTAATAACAAACTTCTTTGAGCTAAAAGAACATGTTCTAACCCAATGCAAAGAAACTAAGAACCTTAAAAAAGTTTGATGAAATGCCAATGAGAATAAACAGCTTAGACAAGAATATAATTGAATGATGGAGCTGCAAAACACAACACTAGAACTTTGCAAAGCATAAACAAGTTTCAACAGCTGAATCGACCAAGCAGAAGAAAGGATATCAGAGATTGAAGATCAACTCAATGAAATAAAATGAGAAGGCAAGATTAGAGAAAAAAAAAGTAAAAAGAAATGAAAAAAGCCTCCAAGAAATATGAGACTATGTGAAAAGAACGAATCTACATTTGATAGGTGTACATGAATGTGACGGAGAGAATGAATCCAAGCTGGAAAATACTCTTCAGGATGTTATCCAGGAATATTTTCCCAACCTAGCAAGGCAGGCCAATATTGAAGTACAGGAAATACAGAGAACACCATAAAGATATTCTTCAAGAAGAGCAACCCCAAGGCACATAATTGTCAGATTCACCACAGCTGAAATGAAGGAGAAAATGCTAAGGGCAGACAGAGAGAAAGGTTGGGTCACCCACAAAGAGAAGCCCATCAGACTCACGGTGGATCTCTAAGAAGAAACCCAGGTAGCCAGAAGAGAGTGGGGGCCAATATTTAACATCCTTAAAGAAATTTCAATATACAATTTCATATCCAATCAAACTAAGTTTCATAAGCGAAGAAGAAAGAAAATCCTTTACAAACAAGCAATTACTCAGAGATTTCATCACTGCCAGGCCTGCTTTAGAAGAGCTCCTGAAAGAAGTACTAAACAAGGAAAGGAACAACAAGTACCAGCCACTCCAAAAACATACCAAACGGTAAAGAGCATCGACACAATGAAGAAACGGCATCAACTAATGGGCAAAACAATCAGCTAGCATCAAAATGGCAGGATCAAACTCACACGTAACAATATTAACCCTAAATGTAAATGGGATAAACGCCCCAATCAAAAGACACAGACTGGCAAATTGGATAAAAAGCCAAAACCCATTGGTGTGCTGTATCCAGGAAACCCATCTCACATGCAAGAATACNCTTGAAGATCAATTCAGTGAAATAAAATGAGAAGGCAAGAACAGAGAAAAAAAAAGTAAAATGAAATGAACAAAGCCTCCAAGAAATATGGGATTATGTGAAAAGACCTATACTACATTTGATAGCTGTATCTGAATGTGACAGAAAATGAATCCAAGCTGGAAAACACTCTTCAGGATAC